GAAAGTAAAATGTACTAAATAGTCTGTTGAATAAAGCACCATTTAGAAAAACAGAGACACAAAACATTAATTTCTGGTACTTTTCCAACCATACAGCCAAAGAGAAGTCACAAATTCTAAAACTACTTCCTCATCTACAACTTAAAATAATTTCTCACAATTATTAAAATGTAAAACATAGCAAACTAATCAAATTCCAACTATTACGACATAGCATGTTAGTCTCTAGCAAAGTCAGACATTCACACAAAAACAAGTTTTATTCCACAGCCAGTCACAGAATTCAATAAAACCCAAGAGTTGTTTGTTTTTTTTTTTGAAGTATTTTGGGAGGAAACACTATGAAATGATGGGTCCTTCTGACATATCTCCATTATTCTCTGAGCACTTCCTTGCATTCTGGCACAAAATATTCTAGGCTCATCCTATGCTTTCCTGTTCCAGCCCTGGAATCAGTCATTTCTTCAAGGAACAGACTCTTTTTAGAGGCAAATGGTATGTAGAAGCTAAGATCTGGACACTAAGTATACTCACTGTTATTGGGTATTGCAGCTCAAAGACCCTCTCAGAGGGCAGAGTGAGGGGCTGCACATGTAACCAATCTCCCATCACTGCTGCTAGCTTCTCCTACCCCATTTAAAGTCATTACAAAATAATGGCTGTATTTCCCTGTGCTGGATAATATGTTTGTTGCTTCAAGATTCTTGCTAAGTATAAAATAGGATATTGAATCAAAGGTAAGCAACTTTCTAAGAAACTATTATTTTAGTATTAAATGCTTCCATATTTGCCTTCACATATCTTCCCTTACATTCCCTATAATTTATATAACCTGGTATCCCAAGTCGGTAAAGGTTACTCCCCTGACAGCTACTTATTACAAGGCACCAAAATTTATAGACTTCTCAAATGAGAAGAACACAAGTCTTACCTTTTGGTAGCCTGATCTTATTAAGTTAACCAAGATTACTAGGCATTCTTCAACAAAGAAAAATCTTGAACCTGACTTCCTAAGGACACTCCATTTCAGCACTGGCTAAAATCATCCCTAAACTCCAGAGACATAACTTCTAGAATTTATATGGCACTGGAGCCTTAAGTCAAAGCATTTATGAAATGCTACATGTAACTTAGTTCCTCTCACCCACTAGTAAACTACATTCAAAGCTTTTAAAAGTCACATTACTTTTTTTCTTGAGTCCTATTTCCATTGCTTTTATCCTTGTTTTCATATTTGAAAAAAACAGATCAGGCACATAAGCCTTCCTTCCAAGCATATTTTGCTTATAAAAATTCCTTGATCACTAAAGCAACCTGTGGGTAACAGAGCTGTAAAAGAACAGATTTAATACCTATTGACACAGTATCAGAGATGCACACATGGTGAAGCAGTTTTTTAATGGTGGTGATGGATTCTGAGTCTCTGACCTGGTTTCCTTTGGAAAGGAAAAGTCTGCTGACAGAGAGCAAAACATCTAAACATACAGCACACAAAGCCTCTAAAATTTAAACGTAGATCTCAAAATACCCAGTTACTTGAATAGCAACTACTTAAAGAAAAATATTCCATTGCTATCACTTGATAAAACTGTTATTGTACTTTCAGTATATAAAAATCTAATTGTGATATCAGTAAGTAAGATTGCTTAAAGTTATAAAGGCAACAGGTGGCAAAGACTGAAGGTAGCTTATTTGATCCCAAAAAATCCATTAACCAAAGATCAAATGTAACTGGCTTAAGTACTCAAGAAAATGCTATTCCCAAAGCTGACCTCTGAAGAGCCATTCCCTGCTTCTCAAATTTCTTATATTTAAAGACACAATTCAACCCTGCAGACCCAATTATAAAATTAACCTCTGACTCATAATGGTTAGAAGTTGGCTGGTATAAGTTTCCCCCTACCTCCCAATTCAGGAATCTCTTTCATAAAATCTCTGAGAGATTATTCAAGCCCTCTTACACCATATACTGAAAAGATCTCTAGACCTGAAAACACTGAGTGGAGTTCCAGCCCAGGATCTGCCATTCACTATGTAAAATGTCTTGGGGTAATCATTTCACTTCTCCAGGCCTGTTCCTTCATGCCTAAGAAGTAGGGAGTGACCAGATGACCTCAAAGGTCTCTTCCTGTTCTGAAGTTACATAATTATGATTTCCAATGAAGCTCACTATTTCAAGAAAGAATTCATTTCATTTTTACACAGCTCCTACAATTAGAAAGGACTTTCTAACTTTTCAGATATTCACATTCTTCAATCTTGAAATTCCACTTCTTGCAATCCACTCTAAGAAAAAAAAATGACCACACGTGCAAAGAAAACATCTATTAGCATAAATTGGAAAAATCCATTAATAGAGAAATAAATACAGTATGATATAACACTATGTGATGCTATACAATAGTTTTAAAAAAATGAAGGAAACGATATACTCACCAATAAGGAAAGAACTCCAAATCATACTATTAATGAAAAAAAATGCAGAACTTGTACATTTTGATGCTATTTATGAAAGATGTTATGAAGTTTTACACAGGCTTTCTACAATGATAAAAATATTCTGATCTGCACTGTCCAGTACAGTAGCTACCAGCCATACATGACTACTGATCTCTGAAATGCAGCTATTGTGACTGAGAAATGAATTTTAAATTTAATTTAATTTTAACTACTTTAAATAGCCACATGTGGCTAGAGGCTACTGTATCCCACAGTACAGGTCTAGAAGAACAATCTAAACTGGTAACAGTGGTATAATTACCTCTGTAAATGAAACTAGATGGTAGGGTAGGGGTGAATCAAGGCAGACTTTTGCTCTACCTACAGTATTTGAATGTTCTAAAGCAAGTAATACTTGTAACTTACATAAACATAAAATTTAAAAAGGTCTTTGATATTGAGCCAAAAATCTGCCTATGAATCACTATAGAAAGATTTTAGTTTTTGTTCTGCTTTTGCCATACCTAGAAAAAAATAAGCAAGTATGGTAGTTTGAGTCAACTTCCCTAAAAACACCCTTTAAAACACATTTCCTCACTTTCCTCCAAACTCTCTTCCCTTCACATCCCCTTTTTCTGCAACTATAGTAACTTCTGGTACAAAGGATGCAGCAATACAATTATTACTATCGACCCATTATCAAGGCATACTTTCTAATGGGGATAATGGCTTCGGTAAACACTGAAAACCTTCTATCTCAATTCATTCCAGACAGTCCAACTCACTCTGTGCCGAAAACCACTAGAACTATGAAACCCACACAGAGTATCTTTATCCAAGTTTCTGATACAAGTAATGGAAATCTACATGTCTAAATAATCCAACACAACAAGGGAAGTCCAATGAGTGATTTCCAAATGTTCCTTAAACCAAGTTTTCAACAGTTCCTAGCAAAAATGTGGAAAAGAACAATGTAGCAGACAAAATAAACTTATTCTATAGGAATTGTATTTATTATGAAATCATATCCTTACTACTTTGTGTATGTTTTTATATTAAAATGTTCTCCACCTCATGAAATAATGATTTAGGCAGAAAGTAGTAAGTACCTGGTTTTTGTTTTATTTTTAAACAGTCTTACTTGCCAGATAACAAGATAGCAATCAAACCTCTATACCAAATATTTGCTGATATTTAGTTTGTTCACATCATCTACTAATTTAAAGGATTGAAGAAAGTTCCCTTTGCCCTAAAATGCACACCCTGAACATATAGAGGTGGCAATTACTTCTCCAAAAACACACCTCATTTTGATACAAGGAAAAGTTAAGTTTCCCCACTCCTTTACTATATTATTTACAAGAATATTGTATCATAATAAAGATCCAAACATACAGGGTTATAAACATGTAAAAAGTCTAATCAAAATATATCGTTGACAATAACAATTATAATTGATGACAGTTACTTCAGTAACAATAAAGTAGCCAAATTCTTTTGGTTAGTTTTAAATATCGTCCACACTGAAAAAGGAGGTTTATATTTACTAAGCTCCAGAGAGTTGCAGGGGTGAGGGTGGGAGAGAAGGGAAAAAATAACTTTTTAATAATAATTTACTACAAACTGTCACATAATTAAGTTTATCACTAGCACTGACAAAATTGCAAATTTTACTTAGTAGTTGAAAGTGACACAAAGCTCCCACAGGACACCTACCTCTTCTCCATCCATCCCCTCAACAAAAAAATACTTTTGTCTTTACCTTCTGGTAATCTGTATGCTGTTATGTAAGGGTTAAAATGTAGAAAGGCAATAAAACATAGCATAATAAAAGAGTTTTCGAGTCAGGCAGGCCTAAATTCCCCAGATCTGCCCATTACTGTCTGTCTGTGACCTTGGGCAAGTCATTCAACCTCTTCAAGCACCACTAGCTTGTAAGCTCCGTAAAAGCAAAGACCACTTCTGCCTGACTTAACAGCTGAAGGCACCTGGCACTGAAATACCAGTTTCTTCATGTATAAACTAAGGAGGTGAACAATATTTCTCTCACAGCATTAACTGAAGGATTAAATGAGATATTATGTATATAAAGCTCTGGCACAGTGCCTGATCATGGTAAACGTTCAATAAAAGTTAACTGTTATTGACATCAACTAACAGCTATCAAACCTGAAAGTACTGTTCGAAGACTTTCAAACACTACCATACAAAGTAAGTGTAAACTGTTAGTAAGTGTAAACTGCTCAACTTACAAAAAAATACTTCACACAAAACCTATGAGTAGTTTCCAAACCACTGGGCTGGGAATCTAATAATAGATGAACCCTGAATTGTGTGCAACAGACCCGAGCTATTAAATGACACTCGGTAGACTCCAAGTTTTTCTACTTCAAAACACAAGCCATGAGCATCCTCCCCATTGGCTTCCCAGTCTCCCCTTCGGACGTCTTGGGCTGTCAGGGAACCCCCTCCTCCGCGCTTAGAGGGAGGAGAGAGAAAACCTAGGCGGAGGCCAGGGTTGGGGGAAAGCGCGCATCCCTGCGCCACTCGCCCAGACCCACCTTGAGCAGGATGGATGGCGGCAGCTGGTTGATGTCTGGGGTTTCGTGGGGTGGCTCCCTGTGACAGTCGCAGGGGTTTTCGGGGGGTTCTTGACAGTCCGAGTCGCCGCATTCGCGCTGCTGCTGCTGCTGCTGGGCGGGCGAGGGGGCGGTGCCCCCCGCTCGGACAGCGTCCCCGCCGGCCTCTGTTGGGGC